GATGGCATGGGAACAAACAAAAGTTTACGAATCTTACATTGTGCCAGCAATTCGAGTGCTTATATGGCTCTTCTTGTCATCGTACAATTTGGCTAACCCGAAATCCGAGATTTTTGGGACAAGCTCCGAATCGAGCAGAATATTGCTAGCCTTCACATCCCGATGAACAATTCGCAGTCGAGACTCCTCATGAAGATAGGCAAGTCCCCTCGCCACCCCCAAGCATATGTCGTAACGTGTTGCCCAGTCGAGATATGGACTTTTGCTTCCTATTAGTTACAACAATATATATCAATTGGATTTTCTTATAGCCAGCTATGTATAAGGTTAAAAGGGTTGAGAAGATATATAGTTGAACTTACTGTCTCCAAATAAGAGCTGATCGAGACTCTTGTTCACAAGGTACTCGTAAACGAGCAACCGTTTATCTCCCTCTATGCAACAACCGTACAATTTAACTAAGTTACGGTGTTGCACGGCAGATATAATCGCAATCTCGGCCACAAACTCGCACTTTCCTTGGTGTGATGCCATCGACAGCTGCTTAACGGCAACCACTCTCCCGTCCGCTAGAGTTCCCTAATATTGTTTATTGAAAATATAATTAATTCAGAATTTTATTTATTTATTAAAAAAGAAAATACGAAACATTTGTTAACGACGATTTACCTTGTAAACGGGTCCAAAACCTCCCTCACCGAGTTTATTACAAGGACTGAAGCCGTCGGTTGCGGCTCTGAGTTCGGCATAACCGAACGTGTAAGGTCGTGTTTCGATCCCCAACAACTCTGCAAAATATTTTAGGCATTTTTCATGTTTGTACGTAAAAAAGTGTTTATTTGTTTGTAATAATCGAACTTGGTGAAAACCCGTCCGCTTCTTACCTTGATCCTCAAAGTTTCTTTGTCTTTTCCTCTTTAGATACACATAACACAAGCTAAGAGCAACCAAAATTACAATTGCAACCCCAACAACAATCCCGAAAATCATACCCATCGTCCTGCTCGTGTTCGTGTTCCCACGTGGAGGATTATTCGACACGCTCGGCACAAAATCTGCACAAATTACAATTTACAAGTTATCTATATTAGATACTCTACACAAGAAAGGCAATAAAATTTTGAGAGTAAACAGATTTATGAACATTATTATTATTTTTTTTTTACTTGCCTGGTGTTGCACTTACAGCCGAAATCAATGGCCCGTACGACCCTCGAGCAGGCACACAGCAAGTCCCTTTCCCGGCCCAAAACAAATGGACTTCAAGGTAATTTTCAGTTACACTAACCCTGTAATCTCGTGTGACGGCTCGTAAGTCGATTCCACCAGCTTCTCTTCGTATGTCGAAATTCCTTTGCACCAGATTTCCCTGC